CTGTTGTTTGTTTTTTTATGTAGCTGTATATTCCCTTCATCCACTCTTGGTAGTGCAGTGTATACTGCTAGTATTTTTAGGATTTTAATTGTTGTTGCATATTAGTAACCAATGTGAGATCCTACAAATCACAGGTTCAAATCTCTGGAAGACTTCAGTGCTTCCAGTTTTTCACAGGAAACATTTTTCAAGATGGTCAGAAAATATACAGAAACATACCCTAGAGCACACACTCATCCTGGGCCCATACAAAATGTATGAAAGTAACCTGCACAGGGAAGCTGCTGGTCCATGTCATTGCTCAACATTTTATTGATTTATTCATTCATTTGTTTGTTTGTTTGTTCAACCAGGAAAGCCTCACTTAGATTATAAATCTCTTTACCAGGGTGTCCTGGTCAAAACAGCAGCAGTATGTTCCAACAAAGTCACATACATACAAACACATCATTTCAAATCTGGTGACATGTTCTGGGACAGAAACAGATATCATGGTTAAAAGCATCTGCAGCTTGATGCATCTTTCTCCACAACCTCCAAACTGCTTTTAAAAACATGATTCAGGACGACCAGCTCCTCAGATCCACATTTTTCTGCTGTAAACTACGAGCTGCAGGAGCAGAGGACCTCAAACATCTTTTAGGGGTTTTTAGTTCCTAACAGGGAGGGGAAAAGGAGAGAAAGAGAGAGACCTGACAGCTGTGTAGATAACAGGGCCCTTGTTGCCATGGTGAGGGGATTTGATTGGCGGCTGGGGGGGGTTGATTGATAAGGACCCCCCTGCTATTTCAGTGACAGCTCCTGTCAGAGAGCCAGCTCGTCTCACATCAGATTTATCAACTGGTACAGCCCCCTCCCACCCCCAATACACACACACACACACACACACACACACACACACACACACACACACACACACACACACACACACTAACAACCAGTTTACCTCTGCTTCAGTTTGTCCCTCAGGAGTAAATCTCATCTGACACTCAGAGATTTTCAGCACAAGGGAAGTCCACTTTTTAATTTAAATTTCTGATTTATGAAAATGTGAGTTCCTGGACCATCTCTCTGAAGGTTCAGTCATTTTTATGAACATATGTTGTCTATTAAAGCCTCTGTGAGACACCTAACCATCTGTTAAAACTTAATCTAGACAAGCGATTAATGTGTGATTATGAGATGAAATATTTGTCCTGCTGCAGTTTGAACAGTAACCCTCAGGCGTTTCCTCAAACATCAAGCTCACCAATCTGTAAGTGCAGAGTGCTAAGGTCAGACAGACTAAGCTCCTTGTTAACCCTGACAGCTATTTTAGTCTGTTGATAAGCACACATGCAGAGGGTCCAACAGCCCGTCCTGAGAAGGTGAGGAAAGTTGGGGGTCTGAAATGGACCAAAAAGGTGAAGACAGGCTCAGTCCAATGTACTCAACCATCAACATTGCATCTTTGGGTTCACTCACTCAGTGAGTCATCAGGATGATCAATATCACTCTCTTTATGAACCACATGAACAGAAGGGGCTGGGGTTTGTTAACTGTTGAATGCAAAAAGGTCAGAATACCAGAAAGCGGGGTCACTGTAGAAAATGAGAAAACTCCTGCAGAGATCCCAACACACTTGACAGAATTCAGCCTGATTTAGACTGAAAGAGCACTAACAACTAAAGTCTAGAAAAGAACCACTAGAGGGACTTTTTACTGGTTCACATTTCATTTTGTGTCACTGTGAGTTAAACTGATCCACTCATGTTAACCAGATATTTTGGAGACAACATACTCAATGCACATATGTCACTGATTTGGCTGCTCTGAGCTATTGTCGAAACATGTTGGTACACAATGGTGGCCTCTTTAGAAGGGGACCCACCAGTACAAGAAATAAAAGACTAGTTCTAAGTTTATAAAAAACAAATGCAGCTCATTATTTACCAAACAAAAAACACTTGTCAATATCATTTCATTTCTACTAAGTCTGATCTGTCAAATGTAGCTAAAGACCACACACTGTGCCCTCATTGAACTGTTCGGGTCCATAATTTTGTTCCAGTACTGGAGAAGGTGGAACAAGGTGGATGAAGGTGTGGAGTAACTATGCCATCAGTTTCTCAGGTTGGACAGTGAGGGTCTCTGCTCTGGGAGTCCTGTGGTCTATCAGACTTTCTCAGATACAAGAGACTTTTTCTGTCGCCACCAAGAGGTGATAGACCAATAAAAACGGCACAAGCCTTTCAAACCCTTCAGGCATCTGAGACTAAGCCCCCTAAGGCTCTAAAGAGGCCTGATACAGACCTCTAAACCAAGTAGGCTATCAAGGAGTGACTCAAATCTTTAAAATACACCTGCACAATCTGATGATAACGTCAACTGTCAGAGCAGCAACTAACCTTTCGGGTTTATGGTGTATTCAGCAGTTTGCAGTTAAGACTCTAATTTCCTCACAGTTCTACCATTTACAGTCTGACTCAACTCTAAAAAAGATGTATAAAGTCTTAAGAAACGACCCCTGAGAGTGCGTGTACATGCTGATATCTGCCCATGGGAAATGAAGTAAACTAAATCACTATTACAGAGCTGCAATAGTGCTGTGCATGAACACACACATACTTTGATGAATAGTAAAGTGAACGGTTCAATTTGTAACTGATGAACAGGAATGTAAACTGAGCTCATCCAGGAGTGACTAAAGGCAGTGCTGACAAGAGTTATGAAGCACATCATATGACAGCAGCAAAGGTCAGATGTGTATTTGGCAGAAATTCTTTGAGTAACTCAGACGTGGTTAGTGCTGCTGATACAGCTACTCCTGTACACACTAAAAGAAGTATTTTGAAAAAAAACAACAACAAAAAAAACAGATTACATTGGACTCAATAATCGACCAGTTCTGGATCAGTTTTTTTCTTCCTTTTTTTTTTTTTTTTTTTTAAGAATTCAGAAATTCACTTTTTGTTTTCATTTTACGATTATTCACCCCCACCCCTTCATTCAGAGGGATATGAAACCCATATCACTGTATTATGGGGCAGATCTTCTGAATATTTTCTGTTAAAGCATTTGGCCAAGTATTCAGCTGGCATATTGTTGTTTCATGTGTATTGACAGGTTTTAAAGCTGCAGATTGTGAACTTGCACATTGTTGTAACAATGCTAATGGGTTATGATGAGCATATCCCATCTCATTACATGCCTCTTACTCTCAGAACCGGTCTAGACTTCAGAACCAAGTCCTGCTCCTTGAAATTCCAGACTTTTTTTCTGGCAAAAATCTGGAAAACAAGGACTTCAAGAACTATTTGCAAAAACTCTGATAGTGACTGGAGTGGACTTTGTGTCTCAGTTTATCACATCACAACTTCCTAAAGATTTAGGTGTCAAGAGATTTAGGTGTCATGAGAATTGTGTTTCCAACTGAGACACATTGTTAAAAGAGAAAAAAGGAAGTTTGTGTCTTTAGATTTAAACTGCAAATTTTGTGACGATTACACAAACTGATTTGTGCTGAGGTAAGATAAGATCAGATAAACCTTTATTCCTCCCACAGTGGGGAAATTTGCAGTGTAACAGTCTCCACTTACCAGGCGTGAGTAAAATTATTAGCACAAATGAATTACGTGTTAAGTCAATGTTAAGACGCAATTAAATGCTCCTACTACTCCAGCGGCGCGAATGATGCAAATTGGATGGAAGCTGAAAATGTCTCAACTTAAGCGATATTCGGATAGTGATAATTAATCAGCACAAAGGTTGCCGGGTGATGTATGACAACAGACAGTTGTTCACTGGTATCTAAAATAGATGACAAACTGATCCTGTTGGTGTGTGGGTGCCCCAAATTATATGACACCTTTTCTTTCAATTATCGTAATCGAAATAAAAAGGAGCTCACCTGGAGGCAAGTGAGTGAGGAGGTCGGATTACCTGGTAAATTGTAGAAAAACTTTGTCTATCACTTGATTCCACCGGTTGAACTGGTAAGAGGTTACGTCGAAATTATCATTGCCGCGCAAATGAAGCGAGTAAATAGTGTTCATTTTTGTGTCTAGATTCGCACGAATCAAGTGAGTAGATGATTTTACTCGTGCTTGGTGTGAGCACCCCATTACAGCAGCAAAGGATCAGCACAGCAAACATAGAGGAATAAGTACACTCATCCTGCACACAGTGTGCAGATAATTATAGAGCATTAACTTCATCATGCTTTGCCATTTGCAGTGAATTTGTCACCTCAGTGTAGCTATCATTAGCTATAGTTTCATTGGCTAGCACGTCAAAACGTGCAAATTTGAAACACAAACAATCCAAAACATACCAAATATTTATTTAGGAGTAGCAAAGGACTGAATGTCTTACAAAAAAAGTATGAGTGTGAAAAAGTATGAAAATCATAACAATATTTTACCCCTCGATTTCAAGTGAGGTCCGGGTTTGTCTTTGTTTCAAGGGCTGTGTACCCCTTGCCCACAGCCCTTCCCCTAAACCTTACGGAGCATTGGGACACCCCTTCACTTGACATGAATGTGCTAAACCGAGGGCTAAGAGGTAAGACATATGGGCCCTGAGGCCTATACAGAAAATGTTATATACAAAAAAGAGAAAAATCAATTAGTATCATTTACTAAAAACTATTGCAGCTCTACACAGTAAACAAAATAGGATTGGACACATTGTTGTACATCATTTAGGTATTTACAATTGTAATAAATGGCAAATGCAGTCCAAAAATGCAAGAGTAATGCAAAATAAAGATTATATAACTCCTCAAATCACTGTAACTGTTGGAGGAAGGTATGAGATCCTCAGCAACCATTCCTCCAGAGACCGCTGACTAGATTATCATGTCCTTACAAAGCCTCATGTCCACCGACTGTCCTTATTAGACCTAGTCAAAAGACAATGTTCCACTATTGGAGCAGAAGTCATAATCATCATGCTTGTTATCTGCAGGTTTGTCTTCAGGTTCACCTGCCTGTTCAGCTTGGACTGGGTCATCATGAGTCCCCTTGAAGTGCAGTTCCAGTGGAGCAGGTCCTGTGCAGTGCTGTGCTCCAGCTCTAACCCCAAAGCAGCGTATGGTAAAGCCATCAGGGCCAGCGTCCCTTTGAAGAGGGGACCCATAGAAACACAACAGCTCTGAACACTACGCTGCGTCTCCCTTTTCCACCAGTCCATTCTTTTCTTCCCCCCTTCCCAAAAATTCCTGCAAGACCCTGTATTACACTCTGCTTTTTCAATTTATTTCCCCTGCTGCCTGCTCTCTCCCTCCCTCTTGTTCTCTCGCTCTTTACACTTAACCCTAAACTGCCTCCCCAGTCTGCTCCCACTGTCTGTCTCAGAAAATTTTTACATTTACACTAAAACCAAAAGGATTTCTGTGCAGCCAACACAAGCATGTGCACATACGCGCGCGCACACACACACACACACACACACACACACAAACAGAGTTAAAAACATAACCAAAATCACTGGAGTTTGGGCCAGCACCTATGAATGTGTTCACCTACCAGATGCAGCTAATCAGATTGGTGTCAGCAGGTGACCACCTACAGAAGCTGGCAGAGCTTCAATAGGATGAAACTGAAGAGGCTAACTAAAGCGTCTCAGGTCAAAGGGATGTCCTCAGGTTGCCATGTGGTGATGCAGAAGTAGAGAAAGCAACCCAACAGGAACTTTAAAAAGTGTGAATGCTGCTGCAGGGATCATTGGACACCAACGATAACTGCACTCTCTGAAGTTCATGGTTTCAGACCACTCTTCTGCAACAGTACAGCATTTCTTAGAGCATTAAAATTAGAAATGAGGATCATAAAATACAATTCACTGCATTTTTGTGTTCCTTTAAAACAAGTGAGTGTGTGTGTGTGTGTGTGTGTGTGTGTGTGTGTGTGTGTGTGTGTGTGTGTGTGTGTGTGTGTGTGTGTGTGTGTGTGTGTGTGTGTGTGTGTGTGTGGCATGTCTGTCAGAGATGTTACACATACTTTACCTCAGGCCCTTTTGGTGGTTGTCCTCTCAGGAATGTGAGAACTGCAGTCTCTAGATGTTGTCCTTACTGCCGACTAATGTCATTGTCATGTTGTGCTCCACATTAAGCTTCATGGGGAGAAGCAAATAAAGAGATGAGGATATTGAGATTTTGCAACTTTTGACTCCACCCTCCATTTTTGCTCTGAAATCAGCTGATGAATTTCATTTTATATTTTTTTACAAAGACAACAAACTGCATTTGATTTGTCTGAATAATGGTGTTGTGTCTCCAATGTAGAGCAGATTCCTCTCAGATCAGGCAGCTCATGTACTGGTGGTGATGATGCTACAGCAGAAAAGGATGTTGATCCACCTGAGGCCTCATGATTATTGATTCAGCTCACAATTGAGCTTTTTGACATGAAAAATGATTTGTATCCTTTTTAAACATCTGTTAACCACAGACACAACTCATAAAGGGAACTTTTTCTCTCACTTTGTTAACCCTAACTGATACTGTATTCTCTCAGATCATGCCTTTTGGATGTTCTTTGTATTGTTGTTTTCTGTTTTCCTGAAGTTTTCAGTAGAATTCTCGGGTAGTCAGACAACCTCCCTGCTCCTGTACTGGTATTTACAAAGACCCAGTGTAAACATGGGATCAGACTGAGCCCTATCCTGTAAGATCAGACCCACTCCCATCTTTACATACATCAGTGTAACACTTAGCAGCATTTAACAAGTTACAGTGGAGAGGAAGAACTTCCTCTAACAGGCAGAAACCTCAAGTAGAAACAGACTGATGATAGACAGTCATCTGCTAAGACTAAACTGGGTTTAGATGGGGGGAGAGAGAGGGATGGAGAAAGAGAGAGATGGAGAGATGAGAGAATGATAGAGGGAGATAAAAAGAGAGAGAGATCAGGTCCATGGCCACAAAACTTCTACAGCAGAGATCCAGAGGACTCTACGGCATGATGGCACTCAGGGATTCCTTGAAAAGACTGTGTTTGCACTGGAAATGTCAGAAAAATACAAAGTGTGAAAGGATTGAGTTAATGTCACCTCATTGGCAGGGCCTCATCCTGAACTTTACCAGCTGTAAGTGTCAAACTTCACATTCCAGACCATCAATGAAAAAATGAAGTACTTAGTGCTGAGGGCTTTTTACCAATTGATCAGAAACAACAGCTTTGCACACACACACGCACGCACGAACGCACGCGGGCGCGCACACACACACACACGGGTAAAGAGCTGTGGGAAATCTGAGAGCAGTTGGGATTCAAATCATTTGGTGGATAGACCCAGTGCTACACACACACACACACACACACACACACACTGCTCACACCATGACTCCATCAGTGTGAACCAAGCACCTTCCGCCTTAAACCCACGCCGCTCAACTGGCCAACTGTGGAGACAGTTTCCCACGCTGGTTAAACTTGCCTCCATCTCCACCTTGCCCACGCCTGCAAGGGTGAGTGTGTGGGCAGGAATGTGTGTTTGTCTGTGATTTTTAGTTCTATATTTGAGTATGTGTGAGTGTTTTGTATGGATTTATATATAGATGTGGATATGAAGTTTCTGTATGCAGATGTAGGGGTTGAACATTCCAGCATGTGTGTTTGTATAGGAATAATATTCAACATGTTTTAGTGTTCACGAGTGCGTTTTAAGTGCAGTAGTATATTACAGACTACATTACACATGCACGTCTTTCATTTGTTCCCATGCATGTACTGTACTTGCATTTCTAACATTCATGGACGTAGGTGTATGATCGTGAATGCATATGTGCATGTGCCCACAGTTTGATCGACTCTCAGAGGTTCACTTACCCAGCTAATGCTCAGCAGCGGCAGGTTGCCAGGTATTTTTACTGCTTCACCTCCATGTGTGCACATGTGTGTGAAAGTATGTGCGTGTGTATGTGTAGGATGTGAAAAGCAGTCCAGCCAAATCCAGAGGTCTAAAGTGAAGGCAGAGAACATGGCAGAGGTACATTCAGAGGCTTTACTGATATGACCAGATGTGCCACACCCTGACAGATTCTTATTTTATGATGTTACTGCGAAATGAGAGTTTCTGCCTGCAGGAGAACTGGGATCTACACAAAATTCAAGATTTAGTAATGTGTTAACAAGTTAGACATGTTACCAGCAATTATGTGACTGCTGCTGAACATTGTGGAAAAACTGCTTTGGTTTCATCCACTTGTCTTTGTCCACTGTTGTATTTCACTGGGAACCAATAGTGGTACCACACAGAAGACTTTATGGGGATCTTCTAGGGTCTTGCTTAAGTGTTGAGATTTCATGTATTTTTCGTTCTGCATACAGTTAGTTCAGCAAGCACTGTACCAGAAATCCTGTACCCAAATGGTTTTGTATAAATACATGTACCCTTACACCCCTACTAGGAGCAAGACCAGGTGATGGCATCGTAAGTGTAGTAAAGGGATGGAACGCAATCTGCAGTTACGCCATCCCAGAACCCAGCAGCAGTCATATAACAAGTTTTTAGCTGAATCAATTCAGACTTTTGCAAGTAAACAGAAATTTGCATGCAAATGAAGCTAACAGGACTGATTTATACCTCTGTACCTGAGCATATACAAGAGGGTTGCATTGTCCTGACCTACCCAGAAGCCAACTGATGTAGCCTGAGGCACACCTCTTCAAAAATGAAACTACATGAGTGCAAGCCCTGTGATTAGTCTGCTCGGTAGCATAGTATATTCACAACATTTCAGGAATCAGTATTTCTCCCTACCTTCATTGTTTAGAGTCCATCTCCTCCATGTCTGCTTTCTATTCATGCCTCAGCTCCAACTCTAACACCCTTAAATTCAGTCACTGAGGTTTCCTGTGTACAAGCAAGCAGAGGATGTAGTAAGATGACTAGCAGGGAAATTGTGCTATCATGACCAGTGCAACTAGTATTTCAGAGTGACATGGACATTTGTCGCTCACGGTGCTGTAGGTCTTTACGGCATAGAGTCTCATCCCCAGTCTCACTGCCAGGGTTGGACTGGGGTCAATGGTTGTCCGCAGAAAAGCAGGTTTCAGTAAGTGATCCTTTATCTCTAACTGCTGACTGCTCAGGAGGCCCTCTAAACTTTTCACTCTGAAGTCTGTCGAAGGCCTTCGATGAGCTCTGCATCATCAAGACCTTGTGACATCAGGTCAGGGTCAGAGTGTGTGTGTTTGTCAAAGGACAGCCTCCATTTGACACCAGCGTGCAGGTCTGGGTGGGTAATTAGAGGAGTGTGTGGTCCTCGACCCTTCTGCCTGTTACTGGACAACACTGACAGACTGGAAGAGCATCACTGACACCTCAACAACAGTTTGGGGTCAGAGTCCTGGCTGTGAATATAGAGATGCACTGCTGGGGACACCGAAGCAGTAAACTGTTGAAGGAGGCCAATGTACAACCCAATCTTTTACTTTATTTTCTTTCTGTCTGAAAGTTTGGCGATAAAAAAAGAATCAGACACATGAGAATAAGAGCTGAAACAGAAAAGCAGACTCAAGGTCTGAGATCACATTTTTGTACATAGAAAATTTCATACTACTCAGTTATCTTCTAGATGAGAGTATTTTCAGCCCTGGTGTGTGTGGTTTACTGGAGCTGTGTTGATTGCAGCAGAGAGGATGGGTTTCTCTCTATCGCATTCTGCTGATGAAGCAGCCAATCAGGAGCCCAGTAGTGTCTGAGCCGTAAAAAAGCTCTGAAAACAGAAACTTGAAAAGAGTTTAATAACATGAGAGGTCAATGTCTTGATGAAGCTAAACTTTTAAGGCAGGAGCATGATAGCCCTAACCACCTTTAGCAACTGACAATTGACTAACCTGATAAGGCATCCAATGAGTGAGCAGCTGTGGAAATTATAATCCCTGCAGAATGAGACCATCATACAATGCATTATCCCACCTATTAGCTGGCTACCGACCAAGCCTTCACTACATCAACACTAAACATTGATTCAAAGATGACTTTATTGATTTCAAAATCATCAATGTACAGATTGAAAAATAGTCCCTCTGATTCCACAGTTGCTAGCACTACAACATGAGGCACTCTTCCGTGCAGCACAAACATATTTTTCTTTGTTAGGGTCAGAAACTTAAAGACCCATGCCCTCTCCAACAGTGCAGCCCTAGCCTGAATTGTAGGATAGGGTGTGTTGTAACACATCGATATTCTGCAGCCTACCAATTTAGCATGCTAACAGAAACTAATGTTTTTACATATGATGCAAATGTAGACTAACGTCTTCACCTTACAGTCCACAAGCAAACCTAAAATGTGCTGGAAACGTTTTTTTAGATTAAACCACTTTCCCATGACTTAACATGATGTAAGTGCTTGCTTCCCACAGTTAATAACTGATGTCAAGGGGGTTGTCACAGGGTTTGGACCAATTAGAATCCAGAATTTAACATAAATGTGTGATAAGCAAAAGCTCTGTAATAATTGGAAAATAGTTGATAGTTAAAGAAGTCTGTGTCACTTACATCCTGCAATAATGGGAATCTTAGCTATGCCTGTCGTCTGCCCTAACAGTAAGACTGTCTAACATAAATGTATGTTAATGTAGAAAATTGTAATCTGAGTAGTTCAAGAGTTCTGTTTCAAATGGA